CCTTCAATTCTCTGAATAAAAACTACAATCTATCTCCAATCTAAGAAGAGCACAAGAGGAAGAAAAAAAGTATGTAGTGCCTTCCTCAAGTAATGAGAGAACCAAAACCGCATCTAAACAATCCGATCTTTTCCCATTAATGGCACTGTAAAAGTCAACCACCCTAAACTTGCTCAGCATTAGACCTTGTCTCAATAGTAGGCTTTCAGTTTGCTTGATCAGACCAAAACCTTTTACAGACGAACTCTTTATAACTAATGATAATGTTTAGGAAGCCTGTAGTTTACATTCTCTTCTTTGTTGTTATTTCAACTTATCTACCACTGCCTCATGCCAGAGGGCTCTCTGGGCAATTTTCCACATAATTACAAAAACAACTTGCCCGCCCCCCCCCCATGAGCTCGGTTCTCATCTAGTGACCTCAGAAGGATGGAAGGCTGAGTCGACCTTGACATGGCCACCTGAACGCATCCGGATGGAACTTTTTCCACATAATTACAAAAACAACTTGCCCCCCCCCATGAGCTCGGTTGTCATCTAGTGACCTCAGAAGGATGGAAGGTTAAGTCGTCCTTGACCTGGCCACCTAAACTCATCCGGATGGAACTCAGGTCATGATTCATGGTTGACAATTGCAAAAAAATTAATGACTGAGGTGCCCAAAAAAAGTCTATTTGGCAGTAAGCTGCAGTTCGTGGTGTTCTACAGCGTAGACCATTTTGTCACAAACACTTATAATTTCTCTGCTGTAAACTCTGTCCACTTTGGAACTGAAGCATAACTTAATAATCAATCTGAAATACATTTTTTTTAAAAAAAAAGAGCCAAGCAGGAGGATCTGCTTTTCTAAAATGCAGCTAGATTCCTCTTCTTAAGGGCCTTCGGGAACCATGGCATAAAAAAGTGAATTAAGACCAAAAAAATTCCCCCCACACACTCCCCCACACTATATAAATAAACCCACAATCTTACAGGCTCGACCTATAAGGTTTATAAAAAGAAAAAATAGAGGGATGAGGAAATTGGATGTAAAACCAAATCTCGCTTCTAGAAAGAACTCAAGACACAAGTAGAGGCCCAGTAGTTGGGAGGGGAGACACAGGAGAGGCCGGCGATCAATGGCTGTTGTCGGAGCGATTCAAGGAGCTGGCGGTGGAAGGGAGTAGAGAAAGAAGAAAGGGAGAAGGGTAGGTATTGAAAACAGAAAAAGAAAGAAAGAGAGAGGTTAGATGCCTGATGGACTGAGAGGAAACCATCAATCAAATGAAAGATACGGAAGACGATATTTCTTTTCCAAAAACCAAGATACTAATAGAGAAACAGAACTCTGGAAACTGCAGAACCCATTATACTTTTGGTAACAGTGGTAAAAAATAGATCCCATTCTTCAGTAATAGATCTAGGATGGAAATGTCCAAGAGCGCAAGGCGGACTAGAGGACTAGAACCCACACCATTAAAGCAACTGTCAAGAGCTGGAATGTGTTGCAATGTCTCCATGTGTTTGCTAAGTTTTAACCACCTTAAAGAGATTAATGCAAATGGAGCAAGGGATGTTCCTAACTGGGGAGGCCACCTGAACAAAGTGCTCTCCATTTAGACCTGCGCCCATGCTGTTGGATAGCATGCTGATGCCAGTGAAGTCTGGATAGATGCTCATCCTACAGGTGGTTACACCTCCCATGAGAAGAGGCCATTGAACACAGGTTCTAAGAGAGGGGAACAATGCAAATGCATGGACAGGCATTTGTCGTGCAATACCTATGGGCAGAGAGGTTTCTCAAGGGTTCACTTGCAACTTCTCACCCATTTGCTTTTGTTCCCCCCGCAACTCCCCAGCTTTGCATCAGGACCGGGAAGAACAGCCTAAGGGATAACGTGGCAGGGAAAGTGCCTCTCTATTCAAAAGCCCCTGCCTTTGCACTTGTTGGCAGACAGGGAGTTTGGGAACCTGAGTCTGTGAGCATTCATGCTGGGTTCCAGTTGATAGCCTGCCCAGATTCTTCAGAATTTCAACTGACCTCCAAGTGTTATTTCCTGGGTATCTGGATTGGTGCTAATTGGATGTACAGTAGTAGCTCGGTTTGCAAACGCCTTGGTTTACATAATTTTCGGTTTACAAACTGAAATCCATGAGAAATAATGCCCTGATTTACATTGTTTTCTTTTCTTTCTTTTTTTTTTTTTGCACTATGAAAGGCTTTTCCCAGGGCGCATTGCACCTGTAGCGCCGCCCATTTTGTAGCGCAACTGGCGTTTCGGTTTGCAAAATTTCCATACTTATTAAAAGTTGCGTAGAACGCATCTGTTTCACAAATCGAGGTACTACTCTATTTTGATTCCAAATACTTAATCCTATAAGAGAAGATTCTCCTGATGGGGCTTATTTTGGAACAATTAGAATTTCTAGCTTTCTTCCATTATTGTTTAGGTACAGAGCCATGTACATAGAGCTTTCTACTAGCCCAGGCAAACAAGATCTGGCTATCTTCCCACAAATTCAACATTCATTTTATGACAATCACATTTAACAAATGCTGGGTGAGAGCAGCTCTGGTGTACATAGGTGCTACTGGCTTTGCAAGAGAGGTGGCTTTTAAGTAGAGATTTGAGGGGAAAAGAGGTAGAGCCACAGAAAAGTTGTGAGGGAGAAAGGAGATACTGTACCACATGTCAGGAGACAGCAATATAGTCTCGAGAGTGTTATTTACTTTAAGGGAGCAGAGGCTATGGATTAATCTACCTTCAGAGATCCGTATGGCCCCTTCGCAGGGTATTTTCAAAAGCCAATTAAAAACCTGGCTATTCAGGCAGACCTTCCCTCCGGGCACTATTTGATCTACAGTGGGGTCTTGACTTAAGAACGGCTTGAGTTAAGAACATTTTGACTTAAGAACCGCTCTCATAGGAAAATATTGACTTGACTTACTTTTGACTTGAGAACCGCCTTCCAATACGGATTAAGTTCTCAAGTCAAGACCCCACTGTATCTTCTTTGTTTTTTTCCATCTTGAATGACTTTTTATTCTTGATACTGATGTTATTTTAATTGTTTATTTTGTGTGATATATGCTGCCCAGAGTAGTCGAATGACTAGATGGGCGGGATATAAATATCATATCATATCATATCATATCATATCATATCATATCATATCATATCATATCATATCATATCATATCATATCATATCATATCATATCATATCATATCATATCATATCATATCATATCATATCATATCATATCATATCATATCATATCATATCATATCATATCATATCATATCATATCATATCATATCATATCATATCATATCATATCATATCATATCATATCATATCATATCATATCATATCATATCATATCATATCATATCATATCATATCATATCATATCATATCATATCATATCATATCATATCATATCATATCATATCATATCATATCATATCATATCATATCATATCATATCATATCATATCATATCATATCATATCATATCATATCATATCATATCATATCATATCATATCATATCATATCATATCATATCATATCATATCATATCATATCATATCATATCATATCATATCATATCATATCATATCATATCATATCATATCATATCATATCATATCATATCATATCATATCATATCATATCATATCATATCATATCATATCATATCATATCATATCATATCATATCATATCATATCATATCATATCATATCATATCATATCATATCATATCATATCATATCATATCATATCATATCATATCATATCATATCATATCATATCATATCATATCATATCATATCATATCATATCATATCATATCATATCATATCATATCATATCATATCATATCATATCATATCATATCATATCATATCATATCATATCATAAATAAATAAATAAATGTGAGATTTCTAATATAAACCTGAAAGAAGTTAGTTCACTAATCTAATGGGCAACTGATTTTTCTGCTCAGGCTAAAGCACTAAACACCCTGTAACTTAACACCTTTGTCTCTACAAGGTCAACAATCAGCTGTTGCCAAGAGCTTCTAAATCTGTTATTCAATTCTGAGTGGCAGTACACTAGGCTGGAGCAACAGAATAGCGCTGTGTTCATATTCATGGGGCTTGAAACTTAGCAACCCTCTGTTAAGCTGAGCTGTCAACAGCTACCATCCAACCATGTACCATCTGGAACAGATGCTGCCTGGCAAGACTCCCAGAAACATCCTCAGAACACACCATCTGGTGTGAGGACTGGGTGAATGCCACCATTTATCAGGGGTGCAGACAGAGTTCAAAATACAGTATGATACTAAGCACAGAGGGTAGCTTCCTAAGATCTCTGCTAGGTAGCGAGCTTCCTCGTGTTTTCCTTACAAAGCAGGATTCTAGTTTTTGTGGGGTAATCATCATCACCTTAGAACTGCAGAGCTGGAAGGGACTCTTTGGATGATGGAGTCCGGCCCCTGTCATGCAGGCCCAGTGGGGAAATAAACTCCCGAGCTATCCAGCAGTAAAAATAGGGTTGCATGTATGAGATCAAAGCCTGATAAAGTTTCAGAAGCTAAAGGGCTGAAAGTAGCTCTTTCACTGGTTTACAAAGATGGGGGAACTCAGCGATGTTACTCAGCTTTCCTAACATACCTTGACTAGCCAAATCCAGAATATGTTATTTAATAAATATGATTTAAGAAACTATTCCATGTGGTTTGTATATAAACCATGTGGTTTGTATAGTAGAACTCAGCTGAAGAATCTGCATTGCCTTGATGCAGAGTTTCAGAATATGCTCTAGGTATGTGTAAGGAAAAAAAAATATCGGAACCTAAAATTCTTTGGAAAGCACACATTTACTAGCATTTTGATCCAATAATTTCTAAGGATTAGCTACGTTCCAAGGTTGATGCACCCTCCACCAAAACCATTCCCTCCTGACTACAGGAGAGCTCCAAGATATTCTACATCTCCTTCCATACCTGGTTCTTCGCCTCTGCGAAACGGGGTCCCCAGGCTCGCCATTCATCAGATGCTGAGCAGTCGAGTGTGGGGGGCAGAGGCGTAGGTTCTTCAGCAAATCCTGCTCGTGGATAAAAGGCTTGAGGCAGCCCCGCACTGGGGAGTTCCCCACACTGCTAGAGCGGGTCAGTGAGCGAGACTGGTTGAAGGGCCACGGTGGCTCAACCTCTTCCTTCAGGACTGTAAGAAGAGGGGGCAAAATCCAAAACAAAAGAAAAAGCATCAGTCTTTCAGCTCCTAGGGCAGCCTCCCTTAACCTGGTCCTCTTGAAATGTGCTGGACTACCAATCCCATCATCCCCATCCATCAATGGCCAAGATGCTATCTGAAGATGAACGAACACGTCCCAAAAGCCTCATGTTGGACATCTTTCCAAGAATGGTTACTTTATTTTTTATTAAAATACAACCATTCTAGGTCCCTTAAAATCTACAAAACGGTCTCCATTTTGACTTCTGATTCGCTTGCAGACAGGCTAGGAATGTAAGCAAATACTACCCAGGAGAGATGTTGGCAAGATGTTTGGGTCCAAGTCCCTAGTACCAAGTCCAAGTTGCTATTAAAAACAAGCTCCCCCTCCCCCCGGAAAAAATGAAGGGTAGGTGGGTTCCCAGTTGCAAGTCAACTCCAAGTCACTGGGGGGAAAAAACCGAATCAAGTCAGTGTGACTGAAATCTGACTTGACAGGGAGTCCCCATCCCTGCTACCCAGTAAACTACCTTGCTTTTCTATGCCAATTCCAATTTAAAAAACCCTCAAACCAATTGTAACTTTTCTTCCAGAAACCTAACCAGAAATCAGTTAGAGAACATAGTTATACCACATTTCCATCTACATCCTGGAACCAACTTGGAACTGGTACATTCTAAACGTAGTAGTGACACCTAGGACCCTATAACTTACTTCCTGCCCAGAGAATTTTGTAATTTAGAATATGTTGACTCAGATCCTTCAAATTTGGAAGGACTGCTGAGTCAAAGATAATTAATTTTATATTCTTCTGGACTGAAGGCAACCTCAGATTTTAGATCCAAATTAGCACTTTAGATATTTGCCAGTCTTTCTCAAAACAAACTGTTGACCCACTGTAGATAGGTCCAAGTGATAGAACTGAAATAAATACCAGAGAACCTGGAAAACACACTGCTCATGTTCCTTTCCCTTATAAAATCAGTTCATTCAAAAAGAACAGCGTTGATTCCAATTAATTTGCCACTGCTTCTTGGGGAAAGAAAGGTATTCTCTGTCCACCTTTGTAAAAACATTGTCTCCTCAAATCGAAGACTAGTTAGTCCAAGTTTCTTCTAAAAGGGAATTGTTCAAACCTATTTCCCAATCCAGAAAAAAACCCACATAATTTATGCTTATCTTACACTCTCGGTCTGACAGGGAATATGGTTTTATATCTCCCTCATGACGTTTCGGAGGCAACTTTCTCACTGGAGCTGTGGGGATAAAAAAGGAAGATGATTAAGTTCTTCAGGAAGAAGCAGAAATAGACAAACAACTGCATACAACTCCAAGGATATTAGCTGTTTTCAGAAGTTTTAAGAACTTCAGGTATCCTGCACAGCCAAAGGCCTAGCACAGAAAAACAGATGTTTAAAACTAAAATGAGAACACAACCAATCAGTGGCTACTATGAATTGACCTACAGGGGAAGAATGGAGTTTCACCAAAGATAGATATACCATGCAATTGAAATAAGCTCTTTGATGTGGAATGATCACAACAAGAACAACCTTAGCCAGGCAATTTTATCAGCCAATTCCAAAAGTAATACTGGAGATCTCTCACTAAACAGAGATCCCTCATTGATTGCCTGAATTAATTAACAGAATTGGAACATTACTGCAGCAGATGCCAAATCACGGCCAGTTGGATATGATTTACTCATTCTATAGTAATTTCCATTTTTTTAAAAAAAATACTAAATAATATATGCATATAGGTGCAGCAGGTAAACAATAATTCCTATGTAGACTTACAACAATCATAAGACAAACGTGAAACAAAAGGAGGGGTTCAAGACCCAATGGCTAGTTTATATACAACTCCCTGTTTCTGAAAGTTCAAGATTCACAGATATCAAGACATTTGCAAACCCATCTGCAGAAAAACACATTTTAGCTTTTAAACAAAAAAAAGAGGGGGAGCAAGGGGCCGTTTTAATAGAAACTAGTCAAATTGTAACAACGGCCAAATTCCTCTTGTATAGTTATAGTGACATAATGCAAAGGCAGGGGGGGGGTGAACAAGGGGCTGTTTTAATAGAAACTGGTCAAATTTTAACAACGGCCAAATTCCTCTTGCATAGTTATAGTGACATAATGCAAAGGGTCTGGTATCTGTTGCATCCTGACTTGTGCAATTCAGTGCACAACACATGTCTACAGTAATTTCTTAACTTGGGGCCATTTGTCTTCCAATGATACATTGTTTATATTATGCCTGCATTAACTACGCAAGAGGATTCTGGCAGTATTTCTTATTTGGTTAAACAGAAAATACAGAAATTGTTTGACTCCATACCAACTGCTGATTTGAATAAGATTTTGTGTTATTAAACTTTTCTGAAATATTAAATATTCTTTTTTCTAACTTGCTCTTCTTACTCAGTGGAAAACACAGAACGGAAAATTTGAATCTTTAGTTGCAGAGGGAGAAGACAGTGGGGTTTCACAAAGAAAATGAAAAAATGCCTTTTAATCCAACCCCCAGAAATGTCTTCTAATTTGACTTCTGATGCATGGAAAAGAGAACAGTCTACTATTATTAGCCTCCGGATGATGGCAAACAGGCAGAAATGCTGGTACAATAAGACACAGTTTTCATTAAGCTCAAATAAGCTCTTGCTGCAAGCAGCATAACTAATTCAATAAGAGGAACCATCATTCCAGTTTTCACAGTGTGGTGCCCATGAAAAAGGCCAATGGATAGTTAAGGGCCACTATTGTAAAGCCTTTATACAAATTTATGGTGCAATCCCACTTGGAAAGATGTGCAAGCAAGAAACCCTGCCAGGTGGGCGGGCAGGGGGAAAATGTAAAGGTTTGAAATTTTGAATGTACAGTGGTGCCCTGCATGACAATGATAATCCGTCCCGGGAAAATCGTTGTTTAGTGAAATTGTTGTCATGCAAAAACAAGGGCCACTATTGTAAAGCCTTTATACAAATTTATGGTGCAATCCCACTTGGAAAGATGTGCAAGCAAGAAACCCTGCCAGGTGGGCGGGCAGGGGGAAAATGTAAAGGTTTGAAATTTTGAATGTACAGTGGTGGCCTGCATGATGACAATAATCCATCCCGGGAAACGCTGTTTTGCGAAATTGTCGTCATGCGAAAACCCTTTCCACATTGGAATGCACTGAAACCCAGTTTAATGGGTTCCAATGGGGAAATACCTCATCATCCAGCGAAGATCGCCCGTAGGGAAGCCATTTTCTGAGTGCTGATCAGCTGTAAAAATGGCTGCCCTGCGAAGCATGGGTTTGGAAAACAAAGGGTAGCCATTTTGCGAAGCCAAAAAAATTGTTGTCTTGCGAACAGACAGTTTGCGAAGCACAGACCTAGTCGACGTCCAGCAAAAATCCCCCATAGGAATAACTGTTTTGC